GGTCATATATTATATTATATTTTTAAAATAACCTTGTTGTGTTATTAATATAATATGATATTATACTATTGTCAATATAATATAATATTATACTCTCATTCATATAATATAATATTATCAATAATGTTAATATTATGTTATGACTCGTGTGTTACTAATAAATTAATCTGTTATAAATATTCTAATATTATGTAATATACTATGGTCTTTAATAGGGCTGAGTTCATTAATAGTAATTTAATAATATATTAATAATTTAGAGTATATATATGTAAATAGTTCTTGTGAATATATTATCTTTACATTAACATATTTTAGCAACTAATTATGTTAGATATTACATTAACATGTTAACTCTATATTAATTACATTTAATATATTATGTTAGATATTATATTAACACCTCCTCAAACTCAAAACCACAAGGACAAAATTAAAACTTATTTTAGGTGTTTAGGAAAAGTGATAATGTTTTGGGTTGAAGACGATATAGCTCAAAAAACACCATTTTATCCATACGGGAGCCTTCGTCATTTGTTTCACTGGTTTTGTTAGTTCTATCTTAGATGTTGTAAGTTCTATCGCCCGACGTGTTAAGTCTAACCGCATTCATGTTAGTTCTATAGCCGGCTAGCGCTAGTTATAGTGTAAGCATTGGATCTCTATCGCCTTTGTTAGTTCCAGCTTATTTGTTGTAAGTTCTCGCTTCTCCAGTGATAGGTCTAGCTGTTCTCGTGTTATTTCCACCTCCACATAACTTTAAGTTCTAGTTTAGGTGTTGGATCTATTGTACTTAATGAGTTATATTATCTTATAATTATTACATATTATTTTCAAAAGGTTATATATTTAATAATTTTGGTATATCAAATTGTAATGGTCATATATTATATTATATTTTTAAAATAACCTTGTTGTGTTATTAATATAATATGATATTATACTATTGTCAATATAATATAATATTATACTCTCATTCATATAATATAATATTATCAATAATGTTAATATTATGTTATGACTCGTGTGTTACTAATAAATTAATCTGTTATAAATATTCTAATATTATGTAATATACTATGGTCTTTAATAGGGCTGAGTTCATTAATAGTAATTTAATAATATATTAGTAATTTATGATATATATGTAAATAGTTATTGTGAATATATTATCTTTACATTAACATATTTTAGCAACTAATTATGTTAGATATTACATTAACATGTTAACTCTATATTAATTACATTTAATATATTATGTTAGATATTATATTAACACCTCCTCAAACTCAAAACCAAAACACCAAAATTAAAACTTATTTTAGGTGTTTAGGAAAAGTGATAATGTTTTGGGTTGAAGACGATTTAGCTCAAAAAACACCATTTTATCCATACGGGAGCCTTCGTCATTTGTTTCACTGGTTTTGTTAGTTCTATCTTAGATGTTGTAAGTTCTATCGTCTGACGTGTTAAGTCTAACCGCATTCATGTTAGTTCTATAGCCGGCTAGCGCTAGTTATAGTGTAAGCAATTGGATCTCTATCGCCTTTGTTAGTTCCAGCTTAGTTGTTGTAAGTTCTCGCTCCTCCAGTGATAGATCTAGCTGTTCTCGTGTTATTTCCACCTCCATATAACTTTAAGTTCTAGTTTAAGTGTTGGATCTATTGTACTTAATGAGTTATATTATCTTATAATTATTACATATTATTTTCAAAAGGTTATATATTTAATAATTTTGGTATATCAAATTGTAATGGTTATATATTATATTATATTTTTAAAATAACCTTATTTTATTATTAATATAATATAATGTTATACTATTGTCAATATAATATAAGATTATACTCTCATTCATATAATATAATATTATCAATAATGTTAATATTATGTTATGACTCGTGTGTTACTAATAAATTAATCTGTTATAAATATTCTAATATTATGTAATATACTATGGTCTTTAATAGGGCTGAGTTCATTAATAGTAATTTAATAATATATTAGTAATTTATGATATATATGTAAATAGTTATTGTGAATATATTATCTTTACATTAACATATTTTAGCAACTAATTATGTTAGATATTACATTAACATGTTAACTCTATATTAATTACATTTAATATATTATGTTAGATATTATATTAACACCTCCTCAAACTCAAAACCAAAACACCAAAATTAAAACTTATTTTAGTTGTTTAGGAAAAGTGATAATGTTTTGTGTTGAAGACGATTTAGCTCAAAAAACACCATTTTATCCATACGGGAGCCTACGTCATTTGTTTCACTTGTTTTGTTAGTTCTTTCTTAGATGTTGTAAGTTCTATCGTCTGACGTGTTAAGTCTAACCGCATTCATGTTAGTTCTATAGCCGGCTAGCGCTAGTTATATTGTAAGCATTGGATATCTATCGCCTTTGTTAGTTCCAGCTTAGTTGTTGTAAGTTCTCGCTCCTCCAGTGATAGATCTAGTTGTTCTCGTGTTATTTCCACCTCCATATAACTTTAAGTTCTAGTTTAAGTGTTGGATCTATTGTATATGTTAGTTCTACCTCGCTTCTCCAGTAATAAATCTTAAATCACCTCATTCCGAGTTCGGGGGAAGAAATTACAGTGAAAACAACAATTAGAACTAACATGGTGTAGATTAGAACTAACATGGTATAAGATAGAACCAACAAGGCATAAGTTAGAACTAACATGGCATAACTTAGAACTAACATGGCACAAACTGGTCATTTTCTATCTGATTCTGCTCGAATCTGGGCAATAGAAGAATATAGACTAAGCTGGAACTAACAATACAAACCAAGATCTAAACTTGTGAACAAGTCCATAAGCCTAACAATACAAAGACTAAACAACAGATAGCTTCACAACAACAGTAGAATTAAATGCAACCAGTCCATAATCGGAGAGGTTGAAAACCAAAACATAACCTTGACAATCCGTCCATAAGCTTGATAACACAACGGCAAACATAACAATACAACCAGTCCATAATCTTTACTAAACTTCGCAATAAATCGGAGAGGTTGAAAACCAAAACATAACCTTGACAATCTGTCCATAAGCTTGACAACACAACGACAAACATAACAATACAACCAGTCCATAATCTTTACAATAAAACGTGATGACTTAACAAAACAACCTTGTATTAAAGTAATGTCAACTGCATGTACAATCTGTGTCTTTGCTCTTAGTTCCAGTATCTTGGGTGAGTATACCTGGCTCCCTTCAATGAGCTTTAAATTCAGACGGGTCAATACGTGAATCACTTAGGAAGGCATGCGAATGCTAGCAAAAAGATAGTCCTCTGGCTTACGTTAACACTGTATAGCTATAGAGTGTTAACGTATGCCAGAGGACAATTCTCTCCAGCATTTGCATGCCTCCCCATGTGATTCATGCATGACCCATCTGAATTGATCGTATTCCATGCGCTTATAAATCTTAACTGGGTGTTAATGTACAAACTCTTTGAAGGGAGCCAGGTATATTCACCCACTGATGGAACTAAGAGTCCATAATCGGAGAGGTTGAAAACCAAAACATAACCTTGACAATCCGTCCATAAGCTTGATAACACAATGGCAAATATAACAATACAACCAGTCCATAATCTTTACAATAAAACGTGATGACTTAACAAAACAACCTTGTATTAAAGTAATGTCAACTGCATGTACAATCTGTGTCTTTGCTCTTAGTTCCAGTATCTTTGGTGAGTATACCTGGGTCCCTTCAATGAGCTTGTGCAATAACAACAGTTAAGATTCATAAGCGCATGGAATACGATAAATTCAGACGGGTCAGTACGTGAATCACCTAGGAAGGCATGCGAATGCTAGCAAAAAGATAGTCCTCTGGCTTACGTTAACACTGTATAGCTATAGAGTGTTAACGTATGCCAGAGGACAATTCTCTCCAGCATTTGCATGCCTCCCCAAGTGATTCACGCATGACCCTTCTGAATTGATCGTATTCCATGCGCTTATGAATCTTAACTGGGCATTTATGTACAAACTCTTTGAAGGGAGCCAGGTATATTCACCCACTGATGGAACTAAGAGCAAAGACAATGGGGATAACATCTTCATCAGCGTGAGGTTTATCCAAGATCCACATCAGCGTGCGTCCCAGGCAGGCCATGACCTTCATCGGATGTACAGGCACTAGCCATGATTTTACAACGCCATATATACAGGGGAACTTGAAGGGTAGGGGAGAGGGTAAAAGTATGGGGTTTACAAATAAATGAGGAAGAGTCTACAGAGAGTCGGCGATGGGGAGATCCGAAAAAGATTGCGCCGAAAAGGTAATCAATACTATCCTGGGGTTGAACAGGCTTTGGGGATGGTGATGTTGCCGCGTGGGATGTGGGGATAGGTTCCGGACCAGGTTATCATAACTCTCCTCCTTGGGACTGCACTTTTGCAAGGTGAGTTGACTCTTCAACCTTGGGAACTACGCAAAAACAACGAATGCAGTCAAACCTATAATATCTCGGTAACCTTCACAGCCAAGTGCAAGTGAATAATGTTAGTTTAAGTGTTGGATCTATTGAATATGTTAGTTCTACCTGGGTTAATGTTCGTTCTAGCCGTTTCCGTGTTAGTTCTTGCCATTCTCGTGTGTTCTGTTGGCCATGTTAGCCCTACCTAACTGCTTGTTAGTTCTAGCTGCCCTCCTGTTAGTTCTATCCCTTCTCGAGTTAGTTCTACTGCGGGCTGGAGTTATTTCTAGCACAAGTGTTTGCTCTGGTGGCCATGTTAGCCCTACCCTCACGCTTGTTAGTTCTAGCTGCCCTCCTGTTAGTTCTATCCCTTCTCGAGTTAGTTCTAATGCGGGCTGGCGTTATTTCTATCACAAGTTTTTGCTCTGGTGGCTATGTTAGCCCTAGCTTACTTCTCATTTAACATGAAAATACTTACAACACACAACAACAACGTAGTTGTCTGTAAATGTACACGCAAAACAATTAACAACATATTAACAACATGAACATACTTACAACATTGAATACACAACAAAAACCTTGGAGAAAATTAAAATAATATTTACAAAAAAGGTGAATCGCGTGCATACAAAAGAGCAGCACAAAACCTTGCTCTATATTTTGCACAATCTCCTTTTGAAATTGTTATCGACCGTTTTTCGACAATGCTGTTAATGAATTCAATCATAAAGATCCCGCAATCTAACGTTCTGCATTTAAGGGAAAAATATTACAATATTGAAAATGACAATGAAACAAAAAAATGAACAATTAAATTAGAAATGCATGAAACACTTACGGTCCTTGTTGTGGCACGGCAACTGACACAAGACCATGATGCTCCAATTTCCCCAATCCCCAATTACTCTCAATGAAACTCATAAACTTATTTATAAATTTCACAGCATCGGCGGTATAAATGGGGGAGTTGATTGAGGAGTAGTGATAGAATTTTGTCTCCTCTCTCACTAACTCTACCAGGTGCCAATGTCCGGAGCTGACAATCGGGATCAGAATTCTTTCACACTCCAAGAACTTCTGCTGAGAAACATTTTCCTTCATTCGTTTTGCCACCATTTCAAGATTTCCTTCTAGAAATGCTTGCTAAAAGATGCAATAATGTCAACATTGTGGGATAACATAATAATAATATCCACCAATTAGTGAAAAAAACAAGGATATACTTACTGCAAGCCAAGGTCTTGTGACATGTATCTTTCGATCATAACTATCAGTTGTTTCAATCTTGTTACAAAGCCGAATAACAAATGCATCGATCACCTACAAAAATTACCATGAATGAATAAAATAGTTAATATAAATTATTTTATATACAACATCAAACAATCAATAACACAATTGTTTAGAACCTACATCGTCACTGAGTTCACCTCCCGTTAATAGTATATAAGCATCTAAGCGAGATACGCTTGCTTCGGCACACTTCCAAATGTACGTATCACTATATGCAAGTACATTGTGAGAAAATTGCTACTAGAATTAAGTAAATTCAAAGATTATTATTAGAATAAGTCAGTAACAGTTACCTGTTCATTCTCGATTGTAGAAAGTCTTCAATTAATTTGTTCTCATAATCAAACGCCAGTGCCTTACCTGGATAGTCTCTAGATGTAGGTATGAAGCCTTCTTCATTTTTGTACTTTTTTTTCCCATCAGGACTATCCAATATCTGGATGACACGTCTCTTCTTTGTGCCTTCCTTTGGTTGATCTAGAGGCATATAAGGTGAAGTAACAGAGGGTCCATCCTTCCTCTCCCTCTTTCCGACAGCCCGTTTGATAGATGGCGTTTCTCTGTTATTCTCATTACCACCTTCATCTTTTTGAGAAACATCTCTATAGAGTCGAGAAGGCATATAATTAACAAAGAGTTACACAAGAATTATATGGAAAATATAAAAATTAAAATTGCAAGAAAATTTAAAAAACTAAACTCACCGAGCATCTTCTAAAATTCTCACGTCTCTTGCGCTCATCACAAAGTCATCACATAAATCGGCTTCCCCAGTTCCTTCCAAATTCTCATATTCCTTAGCTTCCATATCCTCTTTGATTTTTTTTCTTCAGTTACATTTCCGTCATCCTCTTTCTCCTTGGTTTTTTTTGGCATCTAGCACTACGCTCTTCTAATTCTCGTAATTCTGTAGTGAGCTCATTCAACTCGTACGTCTTCTCCGCAATTAAGAAAATTAATTCAGCTTTCCTTGATTCCTATTTGACCAAAAAAAGCTAGTATTAGTACGTATACTATAGTTGCAAACATAGATACTAACAAAAGGGACATAAAATAATGAACTATTAGAGCAACGATATGTACAAATACTATTGGCGATGCCGTATGAATAAGAGGAGTATTCTCTTGGCCATTATCCGTAACCAACTTCGGGACTCTATATAATTTGTTCATAGTAGTCCTCCTCCACTTTCCAGTACTCTTCACACAAAAGAGCGGCGGTAACCTTTCAATATCTGAAGTGTACTCTAATTCCCCTACTTTTTCATAAAACCAAACCTACAAAAAAGAAACTACACATTAGCATGTGCATAAACAATAATCATTATCAAAATGAAAAGATATACAAAATAATGTTCATGTAACTCACCAGTAAAACGGAGGAAAAACCACCCATGTACCCGGCATTTGAGCGCTGACCTAATTCCCGCATACTAAGAGACTTCTTTGATTTACTCATCTCTTTGCAAAGAAGAGTGAACACCGCATGGCACCAATTATATTTATGCAAAGTTGATAACTGCTCCGCATATCTAAACGCCCACAAGGGACATGTCTTACATGTCCGCGGGCATAATATGAAGCCGATAATGAAAGCCACAATAAGTTTCACACATATTATAGGGTCTTCATTAATCATATCTACAATCATCTCGGCCATTCTATCGCGCTTCCCCGAAATCACCGCCTTCTTTTCCTCATCGGCTTTCTTATAATTCTTTACAAAATAGGTGTAGATTGTATTAGCCGCTGCCCCACTCATTTTTATCGGAATTCCCTCCTTTGGCAATCCGGTAATTCGGTGAATATCATCTATACCGAACACACAATTTTTATTCCCAATCATGAATGAGCATTTATCAGGATTAAAATTTTGAATCAAGCAATCAATTGCTATTTGCTCATTGCTCAAGGATGTGGGTATATTGAGAAAGCTGTGAAAAGGTGTCGTCTGTAGGGCTTTTAGGTGTCTTTCATCTAATTTTATTCGCTTATCAATTAAATCTCGAAAATAACACAAATTGGCCGGAATTCTCAAGTGTGTTATCTTAGCCCTACAAGAAAATTATAATTCAGAAAGAGTTAAAAATTAAATATATTTGGGCAAATTAAGACGCATATTAACAAGTTTATTAACACAAACATTATACATCATGGCTTACAACAAAAATTATAATTCAGAAAGAGTTAAAAATTAAATATATCATGGCAAATTACTTACGAAGTTGGAGGATTATTGCATTTAGAAGAGGTAGGCTTTGATTTTGAAGAATTCGAAGACGTCGACTCTTTCAATTTGTTCGAAGCCATGAGGGCAGACGTCGAGGGCTTGGTCGAGCTCCGGAGGCGGCGATGAACCTGAGGGCTGAGCTCAAATGCCATCGGAGGCGTGGCTGATGACGAGGGGTGAGTTCGATGGCGAGGAGGAGTAGACGGCGCTGACCCGGCGGCGACGCTCAGCGGCGGCGATCTCGGGAGCTGGAGAGGAGGAGGGGAGGTGATGGCTAGGGCAAGGGGACGGCGGCGACGCTGAACGGGGACGTCGAGGGATTGGCCGAGCTTGGGCGGCGGCGCTTTCGGGCGGTGGTGAGGAGGAGGGGGTCGGTGATGGCGCGATCTGAGCGGGAAAGAAGAGAGAAGGGTAGGGATTTTGGGGGATGGGATTTTCAACGAAGGGCTCAGATCTCTTTATTGGGTTTATAATAAACCGCCCAGATCGCCAACCCTCCCTATCTCTCTCCCGCTGGTGGCCCCAACCACGCCGCCCCCAACTCCGCCGACCAACCCTCAGGCCCTCTCTCTCCCGCTCGTGGCCCCAACCCCGCCACCCCCAACTGCGCCTTGACCCCAACCCCGCCGCCGACCTACTCTCTCTCCCTCCTCCGCGGGATTGAATCGGCGCTGCAGGTTATAACTCGTCCCCTCTCTCTCGATCCCTCTCTCTCGATCTCTAAAAATGATTGTTTTTAATTTTTATTGCTGCTTATCTATGAATGAATTGGAAGAATTATTGGATCGAAGTTTTGTTCTTGAGAATTGGTAATAATTTGTGCGATTAAATGTAACGCGCTTAGTAAAAATGATTGTTTTTAATTCATTTTTATGTCAACAGAAGATAAAAATAATATAGCTTGATAATTCATGATGTTATCACCATCACTGTTCGTTTGATATTCTCATCCTCTCTGATATGCCCAAAAAAAATAACCATGGTAGTTCAGTTTTTATGAGAACAGAAGATAAGGCCTTATGTTATCCCTTTTATCAATTATGCTTGACTCAATACTTATTGGATCAGGATCATTTCAATATCTGCTAGGAAATTTAGAACGTATGTTTTCCCTGCATACCAGTATTTTTAGAAGTCTTCAATAACTGTTGTCATCTTTACCTGAAATATAGATGCTTTTCCTGTGGGGTTGATACTTTTAAGAGGACGTACTGTTTTTTGTAGTTCCGGAGCTTAATAAGTGTTTTAGCGAGATTTTGGTTCATAATTTGTTTTAACCAGAGAGAAGTTAGGGTGCTTGCTTGAATCATGTTTGATTTAGGGATTAGGGAGGAAAACAAGGAAATGAGAAGATGAAATT